TTTTTTTTACTTTTCTTAATAAACTCACTGAATCTTTTCTCTTTCTCTGTCTCACACACACACACACACACACACACACTCCGGATGTCCTCTTTGCAGAGATGTGTCTTACTTCCCTTTTTTCTGATTCAGCATTTTCACTCTTTATGATTTAGATTCTAGATATAAAATCACTTTTCATTGTTTTTTCCAATACAATCACTTAATACTTTATTCTTACACATTCACTAATGATTATCTCAAACAAAACACACATATAAATTATCTTATGATTATCCTTACTTAGTAATTATATTAACTTTCTATTTTATGCACGTTGGCTTAGCATTTTAATTATATCTGTCTCTTCCAGCTCCTCTTACTGTCTCTCTTCTTCTTCCAGGCCCAATTTGTCCTCTCATTCATAACCCCACCATGTACTCTGTACTCCTCTTTTCCTTTCCATTTTCCAACTTCTTTTACCATTTTAAATTTGAAATATGGTAAATCTAGGTATGTGTGTGTGTGTGTGTGTGTCTCAGGTGGTGAGCCCCTGGCCTCTGCAGGACATCCCAAGACAAAGCAAAGCATGGGATATGCTAAGTGGGTTGAGGTGTGAGTGTAAAACAGTCTTTTGCTAAAATGTAAATAGGCTGTCTGGTCACAAAGAGATGCAGACACCTAGTCTCTACACAGAACTTACAGCATTCAAAGTAAGCAGATTCTGCTTCATTACAGCTGTAAGATATATAAGCAAGGGAAACAAATGCATTAAAATAACCAAAGCTCAGTCATTGTGGACAATCATCAATACAGCTGTAATATGCATAAACAAGTAAGATAAAGTTATGAAAGGGAACTACAGGTATGAGAAGTAACTAAAGCTTATAAAGTGTTAGGTATTTTTAGTAATGTAGGATATGGTTCGTGTTACCATTGCTAACTCTGAGAGACGAGGCAGTCCAAGTAACTTCAAAACAGTGCTGATTTATTCAAAGGATCACAGGTAAAATTAGCATTACACGCTCAAGTATCTTGCACCTCCAAACTGTACGTAGGCAGATGTAAGATGATAAACCCTGAGCCCACCAGGCCTATACATTATATCACCTCGTTTGCATACTTTCAGCCATTTCAGCTATCAAAATGTTCAGCTCCTCACGGACATTCACACTTCTATTCAGAAGTTTTCAAAACTCCATACTTTTTTAAAATATTTAACTTTATTTTGAAAATCTTGCCCTATTCAAATGAATAAGGAAAATTCTACTTCAAGCATACTTTCAGGTATGAAAATGTTCAGCTCTTCAAGGACAATCATGCTTCTCTTCAGAATTTTTCTAAACTTTATATTGTTAAGACATTAAGCTTTATTTTGAAAATCTGCCCCATTCAAGTAAATAGGAAAATTCTACTTCAGCATAATTTCAGCTATCAAAATGTTCAGCTCTTCAAGGACAATCATGCTTCTCTTCAGAATTTTTCTAAACTTTATATTGTTAAGACATTAAGCTTTATTTTGAAAATCTTGCCCAATTCAAATGAATGGGGAAATTCCAACTTCAGCATACTTTCAGCTAGCAAAAGCATTCAGGTGTCAAAATATTCAGCATTTTCAGGGCAATCTTTCAGCACT